TATGGTACAAACCCAGATCAATTAGAATTTCCTGCAGGTTTATTTATCGAACCTAAAACACAAATTTTATATGTTGCTGATGTCTCCGGTAATCGAGTACAAAAACGTTATCCAAATGGTGAAATCAAAACAGCTGCTGGCCAGGCTAATGGTACCGGTGGATCAACATCAGACAAATTAGATGGTCCAAAAGATATTTTTGCAGATGAAAATGAAAATATCTTTATTGCTGATTGGAGTAATCAGAGGATTCAATATTGGGATAAAGATGCCAAACGGGGGAAAATAGTGGCTGGGAACGGCATTAGAGGTTCAGCATTAAATGAATTTAGTTATCCAAGTAGCGTTGTGCTCGATTCAAAGAAAAATATATTTGTTGCCGATTTGCAAAATCAACGTGTAACAAGTTGGTCATCCACATATGATCCAAGAACATCTATTGGTACAATTGTAGCAGTATGTTATTCATTTTATTTTCGCTAAACAAGATTCGCTTCTATAATTTTGCTTCAAAATGAGACGGTAGTCATTTAGAATTATCTAATCTAAACTATGTTGAATGAGAAATATCTTATACTTAGCTGATGAATGACAAAAAATGGTTGAAATGATTAAGAAATATATCAGGAATCATATGATAATCATTTTACATATTATATTTTAAATGATAAATTCTTCATTATTATTCTAGGGTGGTAATGGTAAAGGTCTCAATCCAAATCAATTAAATAATCCAACTGGTATATATTTAGATGAACCAAATAATACCTTATATATATCAAACGAAGAATCTCATTCAGTAACACAATGGCAAATGAATGCTTATGGAAATAAAAATATTTATGCAGGAATTCCTGGCAGACCTGGTAATAGTGCAGTTCAATTAAACAGTCCTCAAGGTCTAATTCTTGATAAATATGGTAATTTATATGTCACCGATTGTGAAAATAACAGAATACAAATGTTCTGTCCGGGTTCTGTTTATGGTATAACAATTGCAGGAACGGGTCACATGGGTAATGGTAGTAATGAATTATATCTTCCTCGTGATGTGGCATTTGATTCAGAAATGAATTTATATGTTACAGATACATATAATTATCGTATACAAAAGTTTCAAAGAATACAATAAAAAATTAATTATTGATCGATATAAATTTTGAAAGAATCTTCATTACTTTTATGTAATGTAATCATTTTAAGAATAAAAAGCGCATTGCAATCAACTATTAATTATTTTTCTCAATATCTAACATTATCGGTAATCCTCAGCTCTTCGAAAAGTTGCGAAGTTTCTAAATCAAGCTATAAGTATTTATTGAAGGGTGTGGGTATGGGCGAGAATGTGACTCTGGATGGGTATGGGGGTGTATCTGCGAGTTTTCTCAATATGCTCGCCCACATCCACACCCATCTTGAATGTTTACGCGAACGTTGCTCCTGAATTCTTCAGCCAATGTTTTAATTGAGAGAAAAGAAAAGACTAAAGACATGAATCAATTCGGTGCTTTTTATCATTTTTACTGAGCGCCAGCATTTCATTTTGAACGAAAATGGGTTTGACTAATACGCTATGTCACAGCATGCCGAGTTTTCATTTCTAAACTAACAAGCATGTCAAAAACCTTGTACAGAAAATGATGTAGTCCATATTTCTTGAAATTTATTCAAACTAAATAAGTGAAGGTAACATCCTAAGTAATGGACTTTATGGATTTTAGCAAAGACGATATTTCAAATTATGAACTTAGTGTCTCAAAAAAGTTGAAGTGTTTGTGTGAGTGTGGATGATCTGAACATCTGTATTTACATGCACATACACACTCTAATTCTATAAACCAATGATAGTTCAATTATACGGAAAATCCTGTTATCTTTTAAATAAATTTCTCGTTACATCGCATGATTACAGTAGTTTTAGCTCGATCAGCTTCATGCAGGCAAATATATAATTTTAGTTTATTTCAAAGAGATCCGTAAATACAGGATAGCCCAAAAGTCGCTTTACCGAAAAAAAATTGAATATCTGCATTACGGTTCGAACATAGGAGCTGATTTTTTTTATCAACGATAGAAGCATGTTCAAGCTTTATATCCATAAAGACATGCCTAGAGAGACCCTTTATTAAGTACCACTATTGATCTCAACAAAAAAAAAATGTTACTTTTTCACAGATAAGAAATGAAACAATATATTTAGCAAAGGATCTCTCTAGGCATGTCTTTATGGATATAAAGCTTGAACATACCTCTATCGTTGATAAAAAAAATCAGCTCGTGTGTTCGAGCCGTAATGGAGATATTCAATTTTTTTTCGGTAAAGCGACTTTTGGACCACCCTGTGTTTTGTTTTCTAACTTGTATATTACATGGATTTCTCTGGAACTATTGACTACAATAAATATCTATATTAATACACTATCTCTATTTATTTTTTCCTCATATTCTATTAACATGCGTACTCATTTTTTTAAGATTTCTTTAAGATGAATTGTATTGAATTGAAGGGGCTTCGATGTCCATCGTTAGACTGCGATCATAATCATTAATTGACTGTTTGAAGCATAAGTAGCAACCAGAAGAAGCCACCACTTGAAGTTAAAGATGTTCATATTGATTCAACATCGGATATATTTGATCCCAAGAAAAATTATGTTGGCTTAATAATTTATTCATGTAAAAACAAGAATGATTTCAAATTACACGACGTCCATTATAGAGCTGGTGATATTTATATAAAACAGTCAGATTGGATTAAAAGTCATATAAAAATAGGGTATAAACGTGGTGCTTATCTTCATGTGTTGGATTTTCATATAAAAAAGGTCAATAGAGGTTCAACTCTGGCACACTCAATACAATGAATTCATGCAATAATGATGATACATACCATGATACTCATAGAATGTTGCATAAAGATGAACAACAACTTATACAAAAAGTATGTGATCACTTATACACAAATCATCGATGGCAAACAATTCCAGATGAAACTCATAATAACGTCACAAAATTGTATGAAATGAAAAATTTACTGGTTTATATAAGTGCCATAAATTACAACGTCGATTTAGAATGTATCGGCTTAGATCAAGATCTTTTCGTACACTGTTCTGAAATTCTCAATAGATCAATGAATTCGTGGTTTTTGAGCATCGGTGAAAATGTTGAATTTAATGTTGCCAAAGGAACAAAGGGGTGGCAAGCAAAAAATGTAATGAAACTTTTATATCATGGCTCTGATCATTAATACCTTCTTCGAAAAAAAACACATTTCTATAGTGACTAAAATTGAGTTGGATACGAACTGGAATGGGTGCGGATGTTCAGAAACACTTCAGACCAGTTTTCACATCCACATTATGATTTTCGCGACTTTCTTCTTTCTTCTGTGCTTTATTGATTAATATTCATTTTTGTTTTGCTAAAGTAAGAGTCTGGGTGTGGATCGGTTGGTGTTGCATTTTCTAGTCCACACGCATCCCAACTTCCCATTCACACATCCACACCCCACCCACCCACACCCACACCGACACCCATACCCACATCTTTTAGATATTTAGTTGAGAGATTTCTTCACTTCATTTTATTGTTCGAATCAAAAAGTAAACAGAAATTAACTATTCGATTACATTCATATTTAAGATCGATTTATTCTAATATTGAATCTTTGTATTCGATAATTCTTTTGATCGACAACATAGATATTCCCATCTCGATCAAATGACAAACCCATGACATCATAAAACTGGTTTGCCTTATCTCCTCGACCATTTCCACCAGCAATGATGTTTCCTTCTTTAGCTCCTTTACACCAGCGCATTATTCGATTATTCCATCCATCTGCCACATAGACTGTGCCTGATGCATCAACAATTAATCCCTGTGGACGAGACAATCGTGCTATATCATTGCCTTCGTTTTGACCGCCAGCTACGACAATCCCTTCTTTAGCACCATTCACCCATTTTATCACACGATTATTTCCCCAGTCCGATATGTACACAGAATAGTCTTGATCTACAAAGATGCCTGTAGGACTATTCAGTTGATTTAGACTATCACCACGTCCATTGCCACCTGCTACAACTTGCCCATGTTTTTCTCCGATTCGATATCGTAGAACTGCATTCTCTTTATTGTCAGTGACATACAGAAACCTCTGGTCATCCATCGCCAATCTGGTGCAGTGAATATTCTCGATAATTGGTTGTCCACTTGTGCCACTACGACGAAACCATTGCATGATTCGCCGATTTCCCTTATCACAAATGATAAGACTATCTGTCTCATTGTCAACAATCACGTCGGTTGGATTATTCAATCGATTAGTTCCATTTCCTGGCCCATTGCCGCCAGCCACCACTTTTCCACTTGTTGCATTACATTTCCATTCTACGATACTGTGATTGCCATAGTCCGCTATATAAATCGTTTGATCATCATCTACATAAAGGCTAATAGGCTGAGAAAGTCGATTTGATAAAGAACCTTTTCTGTTGCCCCCAGCGACGGTAATTCCATTGGATTCCCAATTGGCATTGGAAGGAATGTTTGCAAGAGATCGTACTGTAACGAAAATCATTAAGTCATGCGAATCAATTTCCATCGAGAATATATGATGAAGACAAAGAAAATTCATATCATTTTGAATCGAACAACGAATAATTTATTGTAATAGCCGTCCACATTAACGATTTCTTTTGAGATACTTCTGTCTTAATCCAACTATCAAGTTTTCAAAGGATTCTACTTGCCTATGAGATTTTTTTATCATTTAACTATTCAATTAATGCAGTCTCAACTGTTTTTATAACAAAAATCTTCTCATCTGTCTAGTGTTGTAAGGTACC